AAAGCTTAAGTTGTTATGTTATACATCAAACATGATATATATGTAATTCGACTTTCTTTCTTTCTTAGTCATATGAGACAATCATTTTAGCTTATCTTATATTATCTTATACAAAAATATTTTTATTATTTTTATTATCTTCCTCTTATTTAGTCTGCATCTTGCTTGGACGTACACGGCCCCCGCCCCCGCCACCGCCACCGCCACCACCACCGAGTCGCATCTTGCTTGGACGTACAGGAGGAGGAACTCATTCCCACGTTCTTTAAAGCTACTATTTTTCTCTCCAGTTGCGTGTTACTTAGTTCTGCAGCTCAGAGGTCATATGATGCTCGTGCAGTCATAGCTGTCGTTAATGGCAGATGGGAACTCACTACCATTACTCTATGCTATTTGATGCAATAAAAAGCGGAACAAACAATGGAACATCTTTCACAAAATGGAGCTTTTGATCAACAGAAACAGAGGAGACGACTTTTTATGTCGACTTTCTTTTTCTTTTGTCAGAAACAAAAGCCTGGTCGTTGACGACTGATCTTTTTGTGTTGATTCCTGATGCAGATATGGGCTTTTGTTCATAGAACAGTTGATCCGATCACAACATCTTTCTGCAGCATAGATGACAAAAGAAGAGAGCATTTGTGAAGGAAACAGACAACATAGATACGCATGAGATTGAACATGCCCATCTCGGGTTCACGGGTGGAGTCAGACCGAAAGATCCGATCCAATAAGATTCCTGGTGGTTGTTGTGTGTACGTTACTTCCATCGCTTGCGTTCTTTGACTGATCAAACGGCTGCAACACGACCACGTCGGTGACAAATCATTACTACCATCTCATCCGTTCCTTGCCAAATCAGACGGCCGATAGCAACTGCTACTCCCGCGCTGCTTCAACACGGCGACTGTTGGCAGCCTCTCGATCGATCCAACCAACTGTCGAGATCATCCCAACGCAGCACAGACAAATGCCCTTCTTATTGATCGGCCGAAACGAGAAGCCCGTTGCCTTTTAAATCGCGTCCGCGGTGATCTCTTTCTCACGGATCGAGGAACCACCGAAAGCTCTCGAGCGATCGGGCACGGACTTCCCCGGAGACCATTATTCTGATTGTTCTAGCTTTTGATTTAAAGAGAGAGAGAGAGAGAGAGAGAGAGAGAGAGGCATGGATCGACCGGTTGGAATACGCGGCTCTTGGATGCTGTTAGGGCTACTGCACGCAAGTATGTTGTTGTGATTCCATTCCATGAATCCTTCTGGGTTATTGGGCTATCTGATTTGTTTTTACGTTTATTTTTTCGCTTTGGTAGTCAATTGTGGGATTAAATTGGTTTATCTCAGCTCTGGGGGAGGGATTGGTTTGTGTTGTGATGCGTTTTCTATGGGTTCTTATCCCTTCTTTGGTTGAATCTAGGATTCTGTTGGATTACATTGTACTAGTTGAGGGAAAATCTGTCCTATGAAGATCTGTAATGATGGATTCTGGATATTCAACCATGGTCGAATGATATTTCTGTCCTAAACAATATGATTAAGACCATGTGAGATTGGTATTGACTTTCGAAGAAATTTCGGGGTTAATTCTTATTCTTTTTAGAGAAGAAGAAAACGCTTCGTATATAAGTTGTCCTTTTTCTATCTTTTCGTTTTGTAGAAGTAATGAAGAGATTGAATGAATTGTATCTTTTTATGTGTACATTGCGTTCATCTCCATTTTGATATAGACACGAGTCATTTGGGTTCCTGCGCTCTTTAGTTATATGTCAAGGCATTATGTTGATTGCATGTTGCATCAGCATTTTTAGTGAGTTTTCCTGTGGTGGAGAAAGTGACTTGGTAACCTTTGGGTCATTTACATTATGTAATCCTGACCCTCAACAAGTTTATAGAACATAGAAAAGCAGGATGCTCATAATGGGTATGGGATGGATGAACCAAATCCTCATAGAAAAGAAGGAAATTATAGGTGACTTGATTTTAAATGCACCACATTTTTTTTAGAAATGACTATTAAGAAATGTCAACATGTTCTCGAAAGGTTGGAATCTATTCCATTTGAAAACTAAGCTCGTGAAAAGATATATCCTTTTCTTGTGAGATTTTGCTGTGAGGCAATGATAGAAAAAAGATATGCATGTTTGCCTAAATAGTCACCTGTTTTGCTTGTAAGACTGGAGGTCCTTGAATTAAATAGTGACATTATTGTAGAGGAATAGTGTTGCTTACCTCAAACATCTATTTGGACAGGATGTTTGTATGCATTTTCGATTGCTAAAGATGAAGCTACAAAGCTGGGAACTGTGATTGGGATTGATCTTGGGACAGCCTATTCCTTTGTTGGTGTTTATAAAAATGGTCATGTGGAGATCATAGTTAATGACCAAGGGAACCGAATCACACCATTGTGGGTGGCATTTACTGATACTGAAATGCTAGTAGGTGAGGCTGCCAAAAATCAGGCAGCTCTTAATGCAGAGAGAACCATTTTGATGTCAAAAGATTTATTGGAAGAAAGTAAGCTTGTTATCTTCATTATCGTCAGATGTTTTTTTTTTTTTAATTTCTATGTTTGTCTTTATAATCTAATGTTTCATGATTTCATCACAGATTTGATGACAAAGAGGTACAAAAGGACATCAAACTTGTTCCATACAAGATAGTAAACAAAGATGGTATGCCTTACATTCAAGTAAAAAATGAAGGATGGGGAGATCAAGGTTTTCTGTCCAGAAGAGATTAGTGCCATGGTTCTAACAAAGATGAAAGAAACAGCTGAAGCATTCCTTGGAAAGAAAATAAAGGATGATGTTGTGACTGTACCTGGCAATTTAATTCATAAGCACTGGTTTATATCACTGATGATTAAGCTATTACTGCAGAGATCTTTTACTAATTTTATCTTGCTGTACTGATTTGTCTTTTCCAACTACTTCAATGATGCCCAGAGGCAGGCCACCAAGGATGCTGGAATAATTGCTGGTCCGAATGTTGCAAGGATTATCAATGAACCGACTGCTGCTGCTATTGCATATGGACTTGACAAGAAGGGTGGGGAAAAGAGCATCCTTGTTTTTGACCTTGGTGGTGGATGTCAGTATCTTGATAATTGATACTGGAGTTTTTGAGGTTCTAGCAACAAATGGTGATACTCATCTAGGAGGTAAAGTTCTTATTACATTAGCTAAGTAGCCTTCTGTTTGGTCATCCATTGTTTGATCACACTACTCTTGCAAGCTGATAACTTCTAACGTAAATAAAGAATATATGGGAAAAAAATACCATCTGCCTTGTCAGTCTGCCTCCTTTTGTTATCAATTGTGGAATTGGTCAAATATTAAAGAATGTTGCCTCCATATTCTGATCTGTTGCATCCTGCTCAGTCTGTAGGAGGCTTTACATGAATGTGTGTGTAGGCTTTGTGTATCAGAGAAGAGCCACCTCATCTGACTTCATAGGTGGTATTTCGTGGAAAAGAAAAACACAACTTAAGCACACAACTGTAATACACATTTGACTGTGATGTGTGGCGTTAATCTAACTCATTCCCAATTAGTGAGTTCATACGTGTGTGATAAGAAGCATTGTCATGTATGTTTCTGATGGACAGTTGTTTTTGATGATAGGTGAAGACTTTGATCAGAGAATAATGGAATATTTTATCAAGTTCATCAAGAAGAAGCATGGAAAGGATATCAGCACGGGCAATAGGGCACTTGTGAAGCTGAGAAGGGAGTGTGAACGTGCCAAGAGGGCCTTGAGCAATCAGCAGCAGGTCTGCGTGGAGATCGAGTCTCTATATGATGGTTTGGATTTCTTTGGGCCACTTACATTGGCACGGTTCGAAGAATTAAACAATGTTTTGTTTAGAAAGACTTATGAGGCCTGTGAAGAAAGCTATGGAAGATGCTGGGCTGGAGAAGCACCAGATTGATGAAATTGTTCTTGTTGGTGGGAGCACCAGGATTCCCAACGTTCAGCAGCTCCTCCTGAAGGATCTCTTTGATGGGAAGGAGCCAAACAAAGATGTGAACCCAGATGAGGCAGTCGCCTACGGTGCTGCTGTTCAAGGAAGCATTCTGAGTGGAGAGGGTGGCGATGAAACAAAAGGTAACGATCATCGGCTTAAATTCCTTGCAAATTGTTACATGCTATATTAATTTGCATAGACTGTTATTTCTACCAATTGACAAGTCTGAATCCAATGATCTGTCATCTTCTTTTGCCATGCTAATTTTTCTTTGTTTTTCTAATATTGTGATAAAATATAAATGCAGATACTTCTGCTGGATGTGGCACCCCCTTACTCTTGGTATTGAGACTGTTGGTGGAGTGATGACCAAGCTAGTCCCAAGGAATACTGTCATCCCAGCCAAGAAATCTCAAATTTTCACTCACCACAAACCAAGATCAGCAGGCTACTGTCACCATTCAGGTATGAATTTAATGGTTAAACTTAATGAAACATAAATATTCTGAAATCTAATTCCTTTTGAAAGAGTTGCTTAGTAGGCTTAATGCTTTGTACAGGTCTACGAGGCGGTGTGCAATCAAATCATCTCTCTAGGTGGCAGCTCAGATGACGACGAGTCAGTCGCATGATTAGCTTTGAGTTCTGGGTTTTAGTGAAGGAGAAAATTTTAGGGAGGAACTTTATGATTCTGTAACAATATGAGTACAGGGAGGAAAGGTTGATGTAGATAAGCAAGTGGATGCTGCATGCTTGCTTCAAGTTTTCATGCTTGGTCTTCAATTGGTTTATTTTTTTGACTAGCCTAATACTTCAGGTTATGCTTTTCAACTGGTTTGAGTAGATGTATTTTTCTTTTCCCCTTACCGAGGCATTGATCGATGCTGCATTGTTCTTAGATATCTGAATCCAACTCTTTCAATCATGATATAAGGGTACCTTAATCCGAGTTAAATGGGTGGAGCAGATCCAGGTTGCCCAAAAGCAGTGTGGTGTAAGCCATAACTGTACAAACGAACGACTTTTGACCCGCTGGAGTTAACTAAAGGTATCATTTCCTACTCCGATGATAGCACTAAAGCCAACCACCGGACACGACCAAGTCAGCTTCAGATCCAGATGAGGAGGCTTCATCTGCATCGGCAATCGATCCTCCAATTCCTCCTCTATCTCTTCACATGCTTCAGTCCACCAATCGCCTGTGACGAGCTCCCGAAGGCGGCATGCGAGCCCCCAGGCTACGCCTCCTTCCCCTTCTGCAACACCTCCCTCCCCGTCCACGCCCGCGCCCGCGCCCTCGTCTCCCTCCTCACCCTCCCGGAGAAGATCCAGCAGCTCTCCAACGGCGCCGCGGCCGTCCCCCGCCTCGGCCTCCCGGCCTACCAATGGTGGTCCGAGTCCCTCCACGGCGTCGCCTCCAACGGCCCCGGCGTTGCCTTCGGCGGCCCCGTCCGCGCCGCCACCGGCTTCCCCCAGGTCATCCTCTCCGCCGCCGCCTTCAACCGGACGCTATGGCGCGCCCTGGCTCGCGCCATCGCCGTCGAGGCCCGGGCCATGCACAACGTCGGTCAGGCCGGCCTCACCTTCTGGGCGCCCAACATCAACATCTTCCGGGACCCTCGTTGGGGCCGCGGGCAGGAGACTCCCGGCGAGGACCCCCTGGTGGCGTCCGAGTACGCCGTCCAGTACGTAAAGGGATTCCAGGGCGAGTACGACGGCGGCGGCAGCTCCAGCTCGATGATGCTCTCCGCCTGTTGCAAGCATTACACTGCTTATGATCTGGAGAAGTGGGGCAATTTTACTCGGTACACGTTCAATGCTCAGGTATGGCCGAGATAAGTGTTTGGTCTGGTCTTGTTGTTGATTGGATTGGGCATCATGCTGTTCGTCATCAGGTGACAGAGCAGGACATGGAGGACACATACCAGCCTCCATTCCGGAGCTGCATCCAAGAAGGCTTTGCGAGTTGCCTCATGTGTTCCTACAATCAAGTCAATGGCGTGCCCGCTTGTGCTCGAGGCGATCTTTTAGAGAGAGCTCGAAAGGAATGGGGATTCCAGGGGTAATCGATGCCCGTCCACTGTTCGATCATATCACAGACTCTTGCTCGCTCGTGCTCAATAGAGCTCACTCATTAGGGACGAAATTGCAGGTACGTGACCTCAGACTGTGATGCTGTTGCGATCATCTATGAAGACCAGAAGTACTCTGCTTCCCCTGAAGATTCCATAGCCGATGTTCTAAAAGCAGGTACCGATCCCCAAACCTAACGTTGTCTTCTCCCTCGAGATCATGTGTTGAACTGTATGCTCTTTGCGAAGGAATGGATATCAATTGCGGAACGTATATGCTTCGGTTCACCGAGTCCGCAGTGAAGATGGGGAAGGTGCAGGAGGAAGACATCGATCGCGCGCTCCTCAATCTATTCTCGGTTCAGCTGAGGCTTGGCCTCTTCGATGGCGTTCGAGCCAAGAAGCGGTTTGGGTGGCTAGGACCCGACAGTATTTGCACTGCGGAGCACCGGCAGCTTGCTCTTGAAGCTGCGAGGCAGGGCATCGTCCTCCTCAAGAACGACAGAGGTTTTCTGCCCCTAAGGAAGCATGAAGTGTCTTCCTTGGCCATAATAGGCCCTGCGGCCGACGATGCGAGCATCTACGGCGGCGATTACACAGGTAGACGATGCCTCGCAATTAGCCTCGTCGAGTGAATTCTCTGCATCCTGATGCAGGCAAAGTGTTTGTTCTAATTGCTCACAGGCGTTCCCTGCGACCCGATCACGTTCTTGGACGGCATCCGGTCTTATGTTCCGAGAACATCGTCCGCTCCCGGGTGCATCGACGTGCCCTGTAAATCCAAGGATGGATTCGAGGAAGCCGTGACCGCCGCCAAATTTGCAGACGTAGTCATTGTGGTTGCTGGACTCAACCTCACAGAAGAAACTGAAGACCACGATCGGGTCAGCCTCCTGCTGCCCGGCAAACAGATGGATCTCGTAAGGGCCGTCGCCGGCGCCAGTAAAGCTCCGGTCGTGCTCGTCCTCATGGGCGGTGGCCCCATAGACGTTTCCTTCGCAGCAGATGACCCATTGGTCGCTAGCATTCTCTGGATCGGATACCCAGGTGAAGTGGGAGGGCAAGCGCTCGCAGAGGCTCTCTTCGGCGACGCCAACCCAGGTGAATCCATCACTTGCATGTTCCATGGACACCATGAATGCTGACAGTCTTCGTCCGAAACAGGTGGGCGGTTGCCGGTGACATGGTACCCAGAATCCTTCACCGACGTCCCCATGAACGACATGAACATGAGAGCTGATCCCTCGCGAGGCTATCCTGGGCGAACCTATCGATTCTACACAGGCAAAGCGGTCTATGAATTCGGCGACGGGTTGAGTTACTCGAGCTACTCCTACAAGTTCTTGCGGGCGCCTCAAAGGATTAGGCTGTCAGGATCATCTGCCGAGAGTTACATCGACAGGGAGCCTCCATACGCGACGAAGGATGGACGCGATTTACTGGGAGTCGAGGAGGTCTCGTCTTGTGATGCACTGAGATTTCGAGTGCAGGTGTCTGTCGTCAACAAGGGCGATGTGGACGGCAGCCATGCTGTGTTGCTGTTCTGGAGACCGAGGGCGATCGGCGAAGGCTCGCCGCGGAAACAGTTGATTGGATTCGAGCGCGTGCATGCAACAGCTGGTGGGGAAGCGGAAGCTGAGATCGTGGTTGACCCATGCAAGCATCTGAGCGTAGTCAATGAGAAGGGGAGGCGGCTGCTGCCTCTGGGAGCTCAGGTTCTGACGCTGGGGGATTTGGAGCACCAGTTGCTTATTGAGGCCTAAAGATGGGAGGCGAGAATAAGAGATTGAACGTAGAAGTGGGTCAGATATTTGTTAATGATTTATGAAGGCAATTACCGGATACAGATTAATTGACCTTATTAATTTGATGAGCCTGGACCACTTGCATAAAAGATTTAAGTCCAATATTAGGTTCATTCAAATATTATATGT